ACATAACCATACATAGCCCTACATAACTATTCATAGGGCCCACATAGCCCTACAGCCCTACATAGCCCCACACAGCCTGAGCCCTACATAGCCCTATAGCCATACATAGCCATACATAGCCCTACATAGTCCTACACAGCCCTAAATAACCCTCATATAGCCCTACATAGCCATGCATAGCCCTACATAGCTACATACACAGCCCCACACAGCCATACACTGCCCTACATAGCCCCACATAGCTATACATAGCCATACATAGCCCTACATAGCCATACACAGCCCTCCTACACAGCTCTTCATAGCCATACATAGCCATACACAGCTATACACACATGGCGCTGGTACATAGCCATACATAGCCATGCAGGCCCTACATAGCCCTACATAGCCCTTCATAGTCCTACATAGCCCTACACAGCCCATACCCTACAGCCCTACATAGCTATACACAGCCTGAATGGTCCTACAGCCCTACATAGCCCTACAGCCTACACGGCCTACATAGCCTACCCCATACATAGCCCTATATCAATACATAGCTCTACATAGCCCTACATAGCCCTACATAGGCATACATAGCTTTACATAGGCATACATAACCATACATAGCCCTACATAGCCCTACGTAGCCATACATAGCCCTACACAGCTCTACACAGCCCTTCATAGCCCTACATAGCCCTATATAGCCCTACATAGGCATACATAGCTTTACATAGGCATACATAACCATACATAGCCCTACATAGCCTTACGTAGCCATACATAGCCATACATAGCCTTACATAGCCCTACACAGCTATAGATAGCCCTACACAGCCATAAATAGCCCTACATAGCCCTACATAGCCATACACAGCCTTACATAGCCCTACATAGCCCTACACAGCCCTACTTAGCTATACATAACCCTTCACAACCCTACATAGCCCTACATAGCCCTATATAGCCCTACACAGGCCTGCATAGCCATACATAGCCTTACATAGCCCTACACAGCCATACATAGCCCTACATAGTCCTACATAGCCATACATAGCCTTACATAGCCTTACATAGTCCTACACAGGTTTACTTAGCGATACATAACCCAACACAACCCTACGTAGCCCTACATAGCCCTACATAGCCATACATAGCCATACATAACCATACATAGCCGTACACAAAGCCCTAGATAGCCCTCATTTAGCCCCACATATCCATACACAGCCATACATAGCCCCCTACATAGCCCTACATCACATACACATAGCCCTACATAGTCTTACATAGCCCTCCATAGTCTTACAGTTTCCCATATAGCCATACATAGCTATACATATCTCTACATAGCTACATAGCCCTATATAGCCCTACATAGGCCCCATATAGCCCTACATAGCTACACATAGCCCTACATATTACATACATAGCCCTTACATAGCTATGCATAGCTATACATAGCCATACAGAGGTCTACATAGCCCCTAACCCATAGATAGCTACATAGCCATACATAGCCCTACATAGCCCCATAGATAGCTATACATAGTCTCTACACAGCCCTTCCTACATTGTGCCCCACATAGCCCTACATAGCCCCTCCACAGCTCCACATAGCCCTACATAGCCCTATATAGAAATACATAGCCCTCATATAGTCCTACATAGCCCCTACACAGGGATACATAGCCATATATAGCCATAGGATAGCTCCTATATAGCCCTACACATACACAGCTATACACAGCTATACATAGCTTTTACATAGGCATATATAACTACACATAGCCCTACATAGTGCTACAGCCCTACATAGCCATACATAGTCCTACATAGTCCCACATAGCTCCTACATAGCTACATGCATAGCCCTTACATATAATACATAGTCCTACATAGCCCTGCATGTAGGCATAGCTTTTATATACAGGCTTACATAACCCTAGATAGCTCCTACATAGCCATACATTTTCATACATATACATAGCTCTACATTAGCTCTACATAGGCTGCTTATAGCTCCCACATAGCTCTACACAGCTATACACAGCCCTTCATAGCTATATATAGCCCTTTATATAGCTATACATAGTGCTAGTATACATAGCTATACATAGCTTTTATATAGGCATAGATAACCACACATACATAGCCATATAGCCTCCTACATAGCCATACATAGCCATACACAGTTTAAATAGCTGTTTATAGCCCTATAGCCCTACATAGCCTCCTCATTGCTAAGGGTACATAGCCCTACATAGCCCTACATAGCCCCACATAGCCTAACATAGCCCTACATAGGTAGCCCTAGATAACCATACATAGCCCTGCTATAGCCCCTACACAGCTCCACATAGCCCCTACACATCCTTACATCACTATACATAGCCCTACATAGCCATACATAGCCCTACATAGCCCTACAGAGCCTTGTTATAGCTCCTACATAGCCCTACATAGCCTCACATAGCCATTCATAGCCCTACATAGCCCTACACAGCCCTATATAGCTCCCACACAGCCATAAATAGCCCCACATGGCTACACATAGCCCTACATAGCAATAGATAGCCCTACATAGCCCCACACAGCCCTACATAGCCCTACATAGCCCTACATAGCCCCTACATAGCCCTAGATAGCCCCACATAGCCTTGTTATAGCCTCTACATAGCCACACACAGCCCCTACGTAGGCATAAGTTACACCTACACAACACTATATAGCCCTAGATAGCTATATACATAGTCTTACATAGCTATACATAACCATATATAGCCCTACACAGCCCTACACAGCCTCTACAGCCATACACAGCCCTATAACCATACACAGCCCTACATAGCCTTGCATTAGCCTATATAACCCTACATAGCCCTACATAGCCATATACATAGCCTGACACAGCCACATAGCCATACATAGCCTGGATACAGCCATACACAGCACACACAGCCTTACATAGCCCCTACATGGCTACACATGCCATACACAGCCCTTGCACAGCCACATAGCCCTACATGGCCATACATAGCCCTACATAGCCCCACATAGCCCTACATAGCCTCCTAGCCCTACATAGCCATACATAGCCCTACATAGCCCTACACAGCCCTACATAGCCCAACATAGCCCTACACAGCGCTAGCTATCCAGAGATTGCCATACATAGCCCTACATAGCCCTACACAGCCCTACATAGCCCTACACATCCCTACATCACCATACATAGCCATACATAGCCATACATAGCCCTACATAGCCCTACAGAGCTCTACATAGCCCTACATAGCCCTACATAGCTCTACATAGCCATTCATAGCCCTACATAGCCCTACACAGCCCTACATAGCCTTACATAGCCATAAATAGCCCTACACAGCCATACATAGCCGTACATAGCCCTACGTAGCCATACATAGCCTTACATAGCCCTACATAGCCCTACACAGCCCTACTTAGCCATACATAACTCTACACAACCCTACATAGCCCTACATAGCCCTACATAGCCATACATAGCCCTACATAGCCCTGCACAGCCCTACATAGCCCTACATAGCCCTACACAGCCATACATAGCCCTACACAGCCATAGATAGCCCTACATAGCCCTAGATAGCCATACATAGTCTTACGTAGCCCTACATAGCTCTGCACAGTCCTACTTAGCCATACATATCCCTACACAACCCTACATATCCCTACATAGCCCTACATAGCCATACATAGCCATACGCAACCATACATAGCCCTACACAGCGATACATAGCCGTACTTAGCCCTACATAGCCATACACAGCCCTACATAGCCATACGTAGCCCTATATAGCCCTTCACAGCCATTCATAGCCTTACATAGCCATACATAGCGCTAGTATACATAGCCATACATAGCCATACACAGCCCTACATAGCCATTTATAAAATAACTAAGATAGTATGCGCGTTCTGATTGGGCGAGAGTAATGTTTGCATGAGAGTATGTACACATCGTTGTGGTGTCAAGATGTTTCGCTTTTCGTGCGGTTATCATGCAGGCAACCAACATGGTTGGAGCTTTGTCGAGCATCCAAACATTGACGAGACGTGTTTGAACAATCACAAAATGCACCTTAACAAAAAAGGTATTGCTATTTTAGCTAGCAATTTCGTAAATAATATTGTTCGTTGACATGATTCCTATTCAACAACTGTGGCGACACCTAATTCCAACACCACAACTAGTGCCAGGAGCAATTCGGATCCTAATTTTATATTTCCCAAGGGTCGTGGGTTTAAAATGGCCAGCTTAAATATTACAAGTCTATTGAAACATATAGATGAACTTCGTATCGTATTAGATGGTCAACCGATTGATATACTAGTTATTAATGAGACGAGACTCGACGGGCGTATATCTGATCAGGATGTTAAAACTGTGGGTTATGTTGTCATCCGTCGTGACAGGACCGTTAATGGGAGATTTGGTAGAGGTGTATGCTTCTATATTGGTTCGAATATAAATTACGTAGTCCGCGAGGATTTAGATAACGAACTTTTAGAAATCTTATCGATTGAAATTTTAAAACCTAACTGAAAACCTTTTGTTGTTACCTCGTGGTACCGACCGCCAAATTCACTTATAGACCTTTTCTCGAATATTGACTCCTTGTTAGCAGGACTTGATTCCGAGAATGTTGAACATTATCTTATGGGTGATATGAATTGCGATTTGCTGTCCAGCGAAAACATTTATGCAAGGGCTCTGTTAAATGTTACCGATATTTATGGCTTAAAACAATTAATCGACGAGCCTACTCGAGTCACACCCTCAACAAGTACCCTAATTGACCTTATCTTCACCAGTCACCAAGACAATATTCTCTGTTCTGGGGTGACACACGTGGGTATAAGCGATCACAGTCTTGTTTACGCGTACCGTAAAATTTCAATCCCGCCTGTTTCTAAAGGAATCAATTTGATCAGCTATAGACAATTTAAACACTTCAACAGCAATAATTTCCGTAATGATGTTTCGACGCAACCGTGGGACGATATTAAAGAACTGTACGACCCCAATGACATGTGGAAAAAAATGGAAAGAATTATTCCTAAGTGTTTGTGATAAACACGCCCCTGTGAAAACTAAACGCACCCGTCCCACCAAGTCTCCTTAGATTACAACAAATTTGAAAAAACGCGAATGAATTTCAGAAACCGGCTAAAGAAAAAAGCTGTTAAAACTAATTTAAGAATGCGTCCTCTTGGAATCGATTCCGGAAGGTCAAAAATAAAGTAAATCAGGAAATCAAGGCTGCTAAAAAGGCCTATTATAATAATTCTTTTAATAATTATGTCGGTGATCAACGTAAGACCTGGAAGACCATCAATGAATCGACTTCCCGCAAATCTAATAAAACAATAATAAATGAAATACAATATCAGGGACTAAAATCGAGCAATCAAGCAGAAGTTGCTGAATTGTTGAACACTTTCTTCATTGAGATTGGACCAAGGCTTAGTCGAAATGTTTCGAATGTTGATACCACCTACAAAGAGTTTCTTTGTGGAACTTCTAAGGAGTTTGTCTTCAAGGAAATACATCTGCTCATATTTATTCTCTCCTTTCAAAACTTTGTAAATCAAAGGCCACTGGATTAGATAGTATATCAGCTAAATTATTAAGGGAGTGCCCTGATCTAATTGCCGAGTCTCTTACTTTAATATTTAATCAATCACTGTTGACAGGAATTTTTCCCGATGAGTGGAAGTCGGCTAGGGTTACTCCATTGTATAAAAATTCTGGTAAACGAAATGATCCCACCAATTATCGACCAATATCGGTGATCCCAGTCGTGGCCAAAGTATTTGAACGGGTAGTCTACGACCAGTTGTATCACTATCTTACTGAGAATCGTATTCTATCCCGTTACCAATCTGGTTTTCGTTCTTTGCGTTCTACTGTAACCGCATTACTCGAAGCTACCGATAGCTGGGCAGTGAACGTTGATCCTGACCTTGTCAATGCCCTTGTCTTCTTAGACTTAAAAAAGGCTTTCGACACAGTTGATCATCATATCTTATTAACGAAATTACAATATTATGGATTACGCGGTTCCTGTCACGAATGGTTTACTTCGTATTTAAACAATCGTACCCAAACTTGCCAAATTAATTGCTCAATGTCAAACTCAAAATTAGTTACATGTGGTGTTCCCCAGGGAACAATTCTTGGACCTTTGTTGTTTTTACTGTATATTAATGACCTACCTAATTGCTTGCATTTTTCACAACCTAGAATGTATGCCGATGACACCAGCCTAACCTATGCCAGCGCAGATTTAAAACTCATAAATAGGGACCTTCAGCATCGACGACGAAATGGGACGACGACGCCGACCGGAAGTGAAATTTTCCCGCGCGAACCTTCTAGGCATGCGTGAGGTTGTCAAAACGTCGTCCAGCCTTCGTCGACGACGTAATTCAGGGAGGTTTGCCTTCGTCGCTAAAACGTAAGTATAAAACTATACTTTTTGCGTGTAAATCAGTCTTTCCCCCTCTTGTCATTCAGTACAAGTAGAAATATATTCTTTGTGGTTTAGCAGAATCCAAATGTTAAACACTTTGTCGGTTTCTTCGCCTGCTAACTGGAATTTATTTTTCAGGTTCGGTTTGTTTGAAAACCTGAGTGATGGCGGAACAACAAGTCGGACAGACAAGTAAGCTTTGCTCTGCTATCTTCCGAACCTTTTAGATTAGCTGCTGTTCGTTCCCTTACGGTCCTATGTTCACTCATGCATTCTAGGTTGTGCTATAGGATAAATGTTCATTTTTTCGTACTAAGATTTAATAATTTCCCATGTTGTCTTTAGCCGCTATTAAAGGCAACTATTTTCCAGTGGACTCAGCTGGAACATGATGTGGTTATGAGGAGCCCTGAGAGAGGACAAATATGGGAGAACATTGTAGCAGCACTGAATTCTCTTCAGCAGCCGAAATTTAGCTTAACTGCAAGTCAAGAGCTGTTCGAGATCGGTATACAGGTTTAATTTCATTTCAAAACAAAAACAACAGCTGCGCGACGAAGAGAAAGCCTCCACAATCAAATAATCCAGGTCCTAAAGAACAATGAATTCGCCATCGTCGATTAAACCATCTTCATACCTTATAAAATGCAAATTACTGAGGTCTTTGAATGCCCTAACAAGACTGTAACAAGACAAAGTTCTTCGCAAAGAAAAAGTCGTCGTCCGTCTGGGAAGCTGCACTGCTAAACTTCGTTTTCCCCGCCGAAAACGAAACCCTTGGCCCAGTCTGCCTCGGTTGGGAAGCGTCGTCGTCGTCCGTTTAGTTGTCGATGCTTAAGGTCCCTAATGACTGCGTTAACGACGACTTAAACAAGGTGTATATATGGCTATCGGCTAACAAACTGACCCTTAACTTGACTAAAACTGAGTTTATGTTAGTTGGGTCGAGGCAGAAGCTATCAAAGCTTTCTGAATCTCCTTCTTTTATGATAAACGACCATCCCATGATGCAAGTGTCAACGGCAAAATCTCTTGGAGTGCATATTGACCAAAACTTAAGCTGGGAATGCCACATACCGAGTATTTGTAAAAAGATTGCTTCTGCTTTGGGTGCAATTAAAAGAATACGACATCTTATTCCTTTTAATGTATTAATTAATGTTTACGACAGTTTAATTCAACCGCATTTTGATTACTGTAATGTCGTATGGAGCAACCGCGGCATTGGTCTTTCCGATAAGCTGCAGAGGCTCCAAAATGGTGCAGCCCGTATTCTAATGTCCGCTAATTCTGATTGTAATGCGGACGATTTGTACCTGGCACTGGGTTGGCGTAAGCTTAAACACCAAAGACAAGTATCGACGACTATTATGATGTATAAAACCGTACATGGGATGACTCCCGACTATCTAACATCTAAATTTGTATCTCTTGACGAAATAACTTCTTATCGATTGAGGAATACTGAAAATAAATTAGTCCACTGCCCGTACCAATTATTTAAAGAAAAGTTTTTCCTATAGGGGAGCTAAGCTGTGGAACAGCCTATCCCATGATTTAAGATCTGCAGATTCTTTACATGATTTTAAACGCAAACTGTGTCGCAACAGTTTTGAATAAGATCATACTTTAATACAGTTTTACACGGCATCCTTGAAAAGCAGCTTTTATTTGTAAATAGCTACAACCCCGGACAAAACTGTTGAGACAATTCCATCTATTTTCTAACTTTTGCGCCTTACTCCCGTCTCCCCTAAACACAAAAAGTAAACCCCCTCCCCACCCCCTATTCAAAGTTGCCTTGGTCTAAAAACCAACGTGTATAATTGCCATGCTATCCTAAACAACTTTGGATAAGAGGAGGGGGGAAATCGGCCATTCATTTGGCGGCGGTTTCAGTTTTTGCCGGGATGACAGGAAAAAATAGGCATTTTCGCGATTTGTCTCAACAGGTTTTGTCCGAGGTTGTCTGCGTACTGTTTTCGGTATTCTTTAACTTTCATAGCAATTACCTCAAGTTATAGTCCTCTCTTTTGGTCAAATTGATAAAAGCCATTGTTTCAGCATACTTTTTTTTTTCTTTTGAATGCGAAATAAAATTTTTACAGTAAAAATTGAAGTTATAACACTCTGATTACATGATCTGTCAAATGACATTTACTCTGTGACGTTACCATGGGCATGACTTTCAACGGCTTACGTGTCCGTAGACGCTTTGCCTGCTCAAATGATGACATTGATATGTAATCGCCAGACAAAATGGATCTCTCGAGAACTTCCGATAGTGACGAATCATTTTCAGGAGGCTCGGAAATATCGCATGAATCACTAGGTGAGAGGAAGGTTAGTGCGCTTATCTGGTCACTTACAGTCACGCGAATTTGGCTCATTTTTCCATCCCGCGAGTAATTTGCCTTAGCAGTGATTACGTCGTTCGCCAAGTTTAGTGCAAAGATCCTACACTTAATAGGACAACATTGCCTCAGTTACAGCAAATGTGGAATTGTGTACGAACGGGAATGTGGTATGATGGATCTCTCATTTCTCCACGCAGATCCCGCGGGAACAATAACGGGAAATCCCTTGATGTGTAAGGTGCTTCGATGAGCTTGCTATGCAACAAAAACGGAGTAGTTTTTCTCGCAGACGGTTAACTTTACGAATAAAGTACCGCAGAGGAAAGAAACATCGGTTAACGACGGTTAACAACGGTTAACAACTTTTCTGAAGAAAAACAACAGTTAGACTATCAGTTTCCTTTAATATATTCTGTTAACCGCTGTTAACCGTTATTAACCGTTGGAATAAACATGTGTGTGCCTGTTAATCGTTTATTTCAAGCGTTTACGGTGCTTTCAAGCATTTTCCGTAGTATATAGAACCTTTTTGTTGATTTTCAAGCATTAAAAAGACCTTTTTACTCAAGGGAAAACTTTTTGACACTGGTGTAATTGTCATGAAATGCGCTGTTTTTTGCCACATCGCGTGACAACATGTTTTCGCTGTATTTGTGATCAAAGAGGCATTGCTTTCCCTACACATCCTATTTCTACCCATTTTGGAAGTTCTTCATTAATATTTGTTCTTTTGGCCTTGGTTGTCATAGAAGAATTAACGGTTTTATCGGCATGGATTCCATTATTTTGTCAAGTAGATAATCTGGTATATATGTTGTAAATTGTTCTAATTACACACTCAGTAAACGCGGGTATTGTTAACTCGGTGAAGCTTACTTTTCCAGTTCTACTCTAACTACATGGAGAAAGTTGTCACTGCAACTAAGTATCACTACCTCTAAGGGTTATTTTTAACTGCTCCGCCGCATTCTTGAGTCCTCGGGCATGACCTGCACTATTATTTTTGAACAGGATTTTTGAACAGGACAGTTGTGCTGCGCAAATATAATAAATACCCAGTCTTATCTAATTTATTCGACATGTAAGCACAATTAACGTTGGTAAAAAGGCCGGAGGTAAGGCTCCTATTAAGATATCATATTTGTGACACACAGTAACTCCTTAACCGTGGCCACCAACCACAATTAATTTCAATACTTTTTCTGTAAAGAGCATGATTTCTTTCTCATTTAGGTATAAGGTTTCTAATTTATCGCTAAATTTCTAAGTGCATAATTAATGCGTCCTAATTGTTTTTATGACACCTTCTTTCGTAGTCACAAAGCTTTAGACAAGTACAACATCTGTGCAAAAAATCAATACCCTCCGACCTTACATCGCGAAGTTACAGCGATTTGAACAACTGGCCTTCACAGACAACCCCGGACAAAACTGTTGAGACAATTCCATCTATTTTCTAACTTTTGCGCTTTACTCCCGTCTCCCCTAAACACAAAAAGTAAACCCCCTCCCCACCCCCTATTCAAAGTTGCCTTGGTCTAAAAACCAACGTGTATAATTGTCATGCTATCCTAAACAACTTTGGATAAGTGGAGGGGGGAAATCGGCCGTTCATTTGGCGGCGGTTTCAGTTTTTGCCGGGATGACAGGAAAAAATAGGCATTTTCGCGATTTGTCTCAACAGGTTTTGTCCAGGGTTGTAGGTAGTTAAAATTTTATGAATATATTTTTAATCAGAGTTAGTTTAGTTAGGTATAATAGATCTTGGATTTTTTGTACATGCTGAAGGAATTTTAACCGTGGTTAAATAAAGTTATCTATCTATCTATCTAGGCACGAATTTCAAAAAGTTTTGGAGTTCAAAACTCGACAAGTTTACTTTATTTACCCATTTTATTTGTCGGCTGAAACTTGGAAAATCCTTACAAAGAAGGTGCGTCAATTTCTCTTTGCTTAAGCTGACATTTTAAGCGAGAAAAATCCGCATTTTAGAAAGCATCTTTATGGAAAACGAAAACTGATTACACATGCAACACTTCGTGGACAGGACTTTGCGACTGGTAAGAATTTATCTTTTAATCAGTGCCGAACAAAGAGTGTTGCGTTTTTTCTCGGGAAAGTTATTTTATAAAAGCAATGGAAAGCTTATTTCCTGTGTTTTCATAGCCTGATATAAACACTCGAGGCGTTGGGAGAATTCTCAGCAGTTATACCAACCTGAGACGAATCGTCTCGGGTTTGAATAGCTGTCTCGAATTCTCCCAACCCCTCTCGTGTTTATATGGAACTATGCAAACAGAAAACGTTTTCTGTTGCTTAAATATAGCTGTACATAGACATTCATAGCCATAAATACGCCATTGTCTTGATTTTCAAAGCTGGCGCTTTTCGCTAATAGTGGGCTGTAACATATAGCACAGTAGTAGCGCAACCAATCAATGCAGCATTGATAATAGACCACTAGTTGCATTTTTCAAATAGCCCTATAATCCCTTCACAACCCTACATAACCATACATAGCTCTACATAGCGTTACATAGCTCTACACAACCCTACATAATACTACGCAACCTTACATAGCTATACATAGCCCTAAAATAGCGCTACATAGCCGTACAGAACTCTACGCAATCCCACATAGCCCTGCATACTCGGACATAGGGCTACATAGTCCTAAATAGCCTTGCGTTATCATAAGAGACTGCATTACGAAGCTTGGACACCAAGAACACCAAAGTTAGAAAAATGACAAGAAACCCTCAGATTCAAAAAAATATATATTTTATTGGGATCATGGGCTATTATTTAACTCTGACAAGTACCTTACGACTCGTTTTTGACCTTGCTTTTTTTTAAAAAAACTTTTTTTATCTAATAGTTCTTTTTCCAAACGTGTAACATTATATGTTCTCTTACGTCATAGTAAAAGTAATAACGATTACATAAGGAAAATACAAAGACCTGCGGTTGTACAGTTCTGAAACCACAAACAGAATTTACCTGGTACAGCAAGTGCTGCATTGTTGCGCGAACGTGGTCGCTAAGCTTGAATATTCACGTCGCGTATTATACCTGGTAGTTTGCGGTCATATCGAAGCGTAAAGGTCAACAGTGGTTGTTGATGAGCGAGCAATTATTGTGCAGTTGCGATGGGTTTTGTGGAGCCAGCGAGCAAGAAGCAGGAGCACACATTACCTGCAGATTAGTCGATGGCAATTTGGAGCGGATTCGTCGATTATTTTCGAATTTATAGCGCTTCGTGGGAAGGCGCGTGGAGATGGTCCGTTTGTTTCGTAGCCAGCCTTTAATTCTTCTTTAGTAGATAGTACCTACAATTGCAAAACTCAACAAAATGCCACTTAAACCGGCCAGGAAAGACAAGGATACGTTCAGTTGAAGGTATCTTAGCTTTGTTTTGTTATATTTTGACTTTTGGACTATTTCAGTTCATGGGAGTTTCGACGACTCATCGCATTAATTTGTCCATGTGAATATTAATATATTCATTCAGTGACGCATACTACGTCTGGGCCGCCTGTGTACCTACAAGAAAATAAATAACCTTTTCATAAAGTTCGACCATTCTGTATTAAGGATGCCAAAATCATAGAAATCGGTTAATTCATTCCTGCCGAGAAACGCGATTCAAAAACATAACCAACGCTCATATAAAAAGGTTCGGGCGACCTTAAGAAAGTTGTTAAGAAAGGTTCACCTTTATAATAAATTGTCATTTGAGTGATGCCTCATACCATTTGAAAATGTTTTTTTTTTTGGCTTAATGCGCTAATTAGGTCACGTGACCTCCATTGGCTGAAAAAGACTGTTCTTGAAAAGGCCAAGCACAGTTTTATAGGTTCTTGTATTAAACATTATCTTAAACCAGTTCGGTTTAATAACTCACAACAAAAAGTGTTGCCATTTTTGTTGAAAGATTTTTTATTGTTTTCTAACAGTATGGAGTCACGTGACAACATTTGTATAATTGGAAAACACCAATGTATGTATCTGGCAAAGTTTCATCTTTCTAGTGCTTAAGTGCTCAGAGATAGACCACCCCCATCTTTTTTTCACTGGATCATTTTGGGGCCCATGCCTTAATTTTCCTGAGGATGTTTCTGACGTTATGGCGGACGTTTCAAAGAAGAAACGTTGATATGTTTTGT